GAGTTTGTGATGCATTAGTAGTGAGTTGGATTTCTTTTGGTAAGGTGGAGTATAGATGCCTAGAAGTGCATTAGTGATATGCATGGGGGATAGAGTGTGACATTTGGATCACGAGTGGAGATGTGATCAAATGTGTAGAATCCTTTATCTGTAAAAGAGACCCTGATTAGGTGGAGTGTGAGAGAGGCACTTCTATCACTTCGATAAGGTGGAGTCCCATTATCCACGTAGGTTAGGAAAAGTGATGTGGTGATAGAGGATTATCCCGTGAACTTAGTATCTACTGTGACTTGCCAATTAGACATAAGTTGAGTGATCTGTTTAATGAACATAGTGGGCAATGAGAGGAGATATGTGTTCTCATGGTGGGAGTAACACGAAATGGGATAGGATAAGTGTGGTGAGATCTTGCTTGGGGTCATTTATGTATTTGTTGCATATGTGCGTGACCGTGTGTTGGTTAACTACGTGTTAATCTGTGGTTCTGCGTGAACGTGATTTTGAAAAGATCTGTTTGTGTGTTATCCTATATATCTTCATTACATGATTATTTGTTCACTGTGAATACTTGTTTCTACTTGGGTATTCTTGACCTTAGCCTTGGTAAGTACGTGGAGCAAGTATCGTATGCGTTTCAGGTTGGAAACACGAGGTAAGGTCTATGATTCCAATTTTATTGGATTACCTTGATTGTGCAAGTATAAACTATGTGTTTTGGTTGGTTGTATATTATTGGGCATCAAGGTGGATATTGTTGGGTTTTTTGATACCCAATAATCTAGGCGATGATTTAAAACAGTTGTCGGATTATTTATCGACACCATGGACTTGGCTCGGCTCGGAGACGAACTACACTTTTGGATGGCCCAAGTCTTGGTTAGTGTTAGGCTTTGGGGTATTTGTTAAATTAGTAGATTGTGCGTTGGATTAATTGGTAGCCCATTAGTTTAGGTTTTAAAAAGCCCTTATGTACAAGTTTTTGGCCCAAGTTGTGTGTCTAACCTATGCTATATTTATCCAAATATTCCCAGCCATTTTTTGGATTGTGGTGAGTGGGTGTGTGTGGAAGAGAGGGCCGTGAGAGAGAGAGAGAGGGCCGAGAGGGTTGAGGGGCAGCCGACTTGGAGGGTTTGTTGGAATGATTCCCACCATTGTTGTCTCTTCTTCTCCTTCCTATTACCACCACCATCCCTTTTCCTTTTGTGAAGTTTGAGAGAGTTTGGGCAGTCCAAAGTGAAGGCGAAAGTCTTGGGTCGAGCCGAGGTAAACTAGTGTTCGTTTGATTGTTTTCTGAGCCCGGAATCAAGATTTATTGAGGGATTTCCGCTACAATCCAAAGAAAGGTACTAAACCAGAATGCAACTAAAAAGAGATACCTCCTACTTAACATGTGTTGACTTGTCAATCTAACATCTATTTCCTTCAACCTTAAGGCCTCTAGCACATCTTCTAAAACATTACCACTTTATATAGGATATATATACATCTTCTAAGTCACCTATGACTCCATATAAGGTTTAAAAATGTCAAATTTGGCTGCATGAAGCCGCATGCTACTTGGACACGTCATGCTTGAATCCACTTGTCCTCTAATCACATTTTCTTAATCCTTAAGCAAGTCCCACGACCTCAATCTATTAAAGACCTATTATTCACTTCCTAAATAAGATAGCAATTCCTCTAACTCATCCCCAATTGATTCCAAGTGAAAAAAAGAGCAAAAGAGAGAAGGAAAATAGAAAACAGGAAGTCAGAATTGAATGTGTTGGGGCAGCCGTGTTAGTTCACTGTTTTAAGGTATGTATTCATTATTTTTGAATATTTTATGATCTCTTGAACACTCTGATCTTGCTTGAGACCATGTTATATGTTGTTAATGATTTTATGATGGCCAAATAAGGGTAATTAATTACTAGAACTTGGGAGAAAACAACCTGGACATAGATGTAGGTTGCTAGAGTTGAATGATTTAGACCTTGATTTTGGATGATAATTAGAGTATAACTTATATTTATCAATATTAACATTTTTATATGCAAGCATGTAGTATAGAGGTAATTTTTAATGGCCTAGAATTCTATTGGTGGCATACTAATACAATGGGAAACCGAAAACTGTCACAAGGAAAACAAAACTGCCTGATTTGACGTGGTGAAAAAGGGACTATTTTTTAGGCTGAAAACACTTCATTTGTCACGATTTTAGAGCATGATTACCTTCACATACATGTTATAGAAATGTAAAATTTGGAAGTCATCGGATATAGATAAGGGGGTGAAAGGATTGTACAAATAATTGGACGGGAATGGAAATCTGAAAACATGTTTGTCCATTTGAGTGTTTAATGTGATTTCAACATTTACATGTCAATTAATTATCTCTTGGACCTAGAAAATAGATTCTAAGGAGAGTTAGGTCATTGACAACAATTGGATGACGTTGATGTTCATAATTGGACTCGAGAAATTTATTGGACGAGATTGTAATGGCGTTAGTAACTTGAACTGATAAATTCGTTTAAATTATTTTGATATGAATGGACATATTTTGGGATTGTGTGTGTTAAGGCTATTAAATTGAGGATATCTTTAACATTAGTGGTAATATACATGATTTTTCGACGTTGAGTTAAAAAGGAAAGTAATCTAATCTCCGTAGAAGCTTGCACACACAAGGGCAAAAGGTAAGTAAAATTTCATTTGCAACTACGATGCAGGAACCTAGTATCTGTGATAGAGTAATGTTGGAATATTTACATGACTTTAGTAAGAGGCTCATTTACAGCATATGATGGTTATGATTATTGAGTATGTGGTTGCGGATCCCATTGACATTGAATTTCATTAAGTATGTCATTGAAAAGCATTTTCATCTGGATGCACGATATATGATCATGGTTGAAAATCCAACATGCAAAACATGGTTTCAAATCGAGTTTTCCATATAAATGTTTTATTGACAAGTACTAGGGCACCGAGGCATGTGAGAGAGAGGAAATTAAAGAATAATTCTTCTTCCAACCCCATCCCATCCCACCCCACTCCATCCCACCCCACCTCAACTTCATACTTCATTAATTATTTGTTAATTTCAATCCTTCGTCTTCTTCCCCTCTATTTTTTTCCCTCTTTGTCCTTTTTTGAAACTGGGTGCTTGATATTCAAGAAAATGGAGAATCAGGGGTTTTGTTAAACGTGAATTATTGTCTTTATCATATTACTTCCATGTTTTATTAAACACAATTCAATATTTATATTTTTTCTCTCTTTTTTTTTGGGATTAATAATAATTCCTATTCATAATTTACAGAATTAAATATTAAATTTTATTTGTACTCCTTTTGCATAAAATAATAAATGAATAGTCCATTCAGTTATTTATATGGTATTTTTTTTCATATTTACAAAAATGGCCTTCAGATTATTGTTTACTAGGTTGACTTATACGAGATTGAAAAACAAAGCTAGTATTCATTTCTATAGTGTCCCATCTCGTCTTGTCTAATTCAATTTATGGATTTATACATTTTTTTTTTCAAGATTTGTGGGATTTGGATTCCTAATTATTAACATAATGTTAAATCCTGGATTTTTTAATTTTCTTTTGAATTTTTAAACTCAATGCATTTTCTTGACAAATGTACAAAGGGGATTTGAAATTTGAATTTGATGGAGAGAGTCTATGACATTTCTACCAAATTAAATAAAGAAAAAAATTTCATTTTAGATATTTTAAAGCCCTCTTAAAATTTAATTTGTTACATGTATTAAAAATTGTAATATGTCTTGTACATCAACCGATTCTAGTCAAGAGTTCCAAAAGATCACACTATCTAATTGTTTATTAACATTTGTAATATGTTACAACTTCCATAAGATATGCAAAGCTCATTTCTAACTTTAGCTTTGATTATTATTGTTATTTGGTGATTGGTCTCTTTCTTTGATTCCTTTCTCTTTTCTAAGGAGAAAGTTAAGAAGGCAAGAAGATAGAACCAAGAAGGGATGAAATAAAAGTAAAATACTGAACAATTAAGGAAATAATATTCATCATGGGAGAATAAATTAGAGTATATCATCAACTTCCAAGGAAAAACTAGGAAATAATTAACAATCCTGCACCAAAAATCTTTTTCTCCTAAGCCAAATCTTCAAAATCTAGTTTTCTTAATTTTTGCTTTGATTTTTCTCTCCAATTTCTCTCTATTTTTCAATAGTACAACCCTCTTTTATTGACCTAAACAATTTCTTCTTAAATGGGGCAAAAATTCCAAAAATTGAGTTCTGGGGGAACTTCGATCAACTGCTGTCCAGGCTGAGCCCCTGTTTGTCGTAATTATTGCTGTAGTATTTGTATGCTTTTCTTTCGTTGTAGGTGAAGATTTAAGTTTAAAAAGTATTGTATTGTTTTAAGACATATCATATTAAATTTAGTAAAGTATGATGTTAATGGATCATGAGATAAGTAATGACATGTTGTACTCCAATAATTAAAGACATCATGTTAATGGATCATGAGATAAGTAACAACATATTGTACTCCAATAAGTAAAGGCATCTTCTAATAGCAACTGGAATTTTATATTTCATTCTCATACTATGAGTTGATCTAACGAGATTAGAGGTTGACAAAAAGTTGTCTTACATCGCATATAGCTCTTTATTTATGAGATATGTTGGATGCTATTAAGCTTTTCCTCATCATATACTTATCTAGTAATTGATAAATCATATGCTATTTTGGTTATTGGTAATTAATTCACAATTGGTTGAGGCCTGTGAAGTTAAATTCCAATGTTTAACATCATAGCCCGGAATTTATCGAGTATCAAAACCTTTATAATGTATGGAAAAAAGCTGTCAAAAATTCAAATAGGTATCTGGTCTGTCCTGTGTGAAAGTGGACATGTAAAGGAAAAGTTGATGGCCCACAGGCCCAGTACTTGACTTATAAAGAGAGTTGAGAATGCTGTTGCAGTTTGCATCAATTGTGATAAAGCAACCGTACGGCAATTGGAAATTTCAGTTCTTGAATGTAATGGAAGACCAGAACCCTTCAGCTAACAACACCAGAGATACTGAATGTACAATTACAGTAGATGAAGATCATCATCTGTATTTCGATGGTCGCCGAATACATAGAGTGCCCGAAGTAATGCGATTAAAGAAACACAAAGAAGAGGATTACTACGCTCCTAAGATTGTTTCCTTTGGACCTTATTACCATGGCTCGTCAGAACTTCGCATGGCAGAAGGACTCAAGCCTGAAGTCCTCACAGACTTTGTTTCACGCAGCGGCAAAGACAGAGAATTTTTCTACTGCCAGATCTTTAAAGTGATCGACCAGATTAGAATTTGTTACGTTGGGGTTTCTAGAGATGAATATGATGATCGAGCACTAGCAGAAATGATGCTTCTAGATGCATCTTTCGCTATATATCTTATGATGATTTTTGTGGGAGATGTTAGAAAACATGTCCACTTCTGCCAACATCTTGGAATGGCTTTATATACATTTGCATTCCAGGATCTGATTTTACTTGAGAATCAAATTCCACTCTGGGTTATTAAGCACTTGACTACATTAATATATGGCAAACGAGAAGAAGGGGCTAAGTTAATTTGTGATTTCTTAAGTACAGCGAGTTTCGGGGAAAAGAAGCTAACAAAAATTCCTAGAAAAGATGGAAGGCAACCACTTCACCTTCTGGATGCCGCTCATAGAATATATCTCCAAGAATTTGATAATTCAGGAGAACTTGTCGAAGATTTGGTTAATGAAGAAAAAAAGCCTGTTAGCAAATGTCTATGGTGCCCTTGGAGTGAACACAATCGTCAATCTCGTTCAGTCACTGATCTTAAAGCAAAAGGCATCCACTTCAAGCCTAGTTCACATTGTTTAAAGAATATTAAGTTCAAATCCTACAAATATTATGGGCAACTTGAACTCCCTGTTTGGTTTTTCACTGTCAATTCCAAGCCATTCTTTACGCAGATGATTGCATACGAGGCATCTCCAGAAATCAACACTGGCAATGTTATATTGTGTTATGTTAATTTCTTGAAGTCGCTCATTGTTAAACCTGAAGACGTGAAAGAACTGCGAGAAAAGAAGATACTCTTTAGCACCCTCGACACTGACGAGCAAGTTATGAAACTAATCAAAGAGATTGACAATTACGGACTTGAAGATGACTGGATTTTTGATGATGTGAGGATAAGAATTGAGAAGCACAGCAACAACAAGGCAAAAACATGGGTTAGTGAATTAATTAACACTTACTTTCACAGTCCATGGACTCTTGTTGCCTTACTCGCTGCCACTTTTCTTCTTTGCTTAAATATTCTCCAGACCTATTACGCAATGAATCCTCCTAGGTAAAGGCATGCACCAAATTCCATTCAAGTTTTAGTTGATATGTGTTTCGACTCTTCCAAATAAGAGAGGTTTGATGCTTTTGTATTCATTTTATCAATCTATGTTTGTATTATTGTAACAAATCTATCGAAGTAGGCTTCTAACAAAAGTTTTATCTAATTGTAGAGATTGAAAACAATGGTTATAAGCTCTTGAAGTCATATTTTGAATGCTAAGAATCCGGGGACAAACTATACCCTCAAGATGTTAGCTGAATTGCCTTGCCCAGAAGATTTCAATTACAGCACCATTGTTTCAGAAAGAAAAGTAAGAGAAGGGTGTGCAAATTAATGTTTCTAGTCAATTAACTATTCACGATAGTTAATATCACTTGTTCAAGATGAGTTGATAGAAACGTCAACATCTTATTAAAGGAAAAACCAGTAGTGCAAGGACTTGGGGAAATAAGATTGGGAAATGATTTTGTTTATGGGTATCTACCACAGCTCTAATCCAATAAATATGACAAAACTAATTGTTAGAAAGTTCTCAGCTGTGTAACAACCGCATTCATTAAAATTCCCCAAAAACCACCCTTCTCCATCTCATGTGCTTACCATATATTTTCTCTAATAGTGTATCTTTTATTGTTTAGTTTAACGTAAAGTCTAAAAGAACCTAAAATGTCCAAAAGCATTTAACGAGGATAAATATTAGTAGATATATTTAGAGTGATAGATTTTTTTTCTTATCTATGTGAATAAATTTGCAAAAATTTAAAAATATAATATAATTGTTTTAAAAATAAAATAAATATATATGCAAGAAGGGGATGATTTTGCAAGAGAATTTGATGCAAGAATCATATAGAATAATATGGGATGACCTAATGACATCCATGGGGTCCAATTTATAAGATGAGGGGTTGTGCCAAGAGACACGCCCCAAAACCCAGCATCTTTCTTCAAGGGTTATAGTCCTTTGTGGCGTTCGCCTAGAGCCCATGTGGCACTCAAGCACTATTAACAGGGACCTAGTGCTCGCCTAGTGCTAGAAGGCACTCAAGCACCAGTCATATATGCCGAATTCCTTACTTTTTCTTCCAAATTTTTTGTTCATCCGAAGTATATTTTGAGATTCCAAATATACTACGATTATCTATTCGATGAGTAGAATAAGTTAATCTATTTATTTTTGTAATTTGACTATCGGATCAATTCCAAATAATTGGCCAAATTTGATACAAAATAAAAGTTTTAAGGTTTTACTTAACCAAATTTCATCTTCTTTAAACGAAATCCCAATAACCTTCCACATGAACTGAAATTCCAATTATGCAAATGATAATGTTGACATTAATAGAGAAATAAGTGGAAAAACATTGCATCAAGAGATGTAACTTCTGGTTTTAGATCTTCCTTAGTGAAATACTATCATTGGCTAATTGATGAATGCGATGTCTTGAACCATTTAGACGTCGATGTAAAGAATGAAAACAATACTTCTATTAAGAGTATTATGCCATACTCGACTTGATTTAGTCAAGATATAGGGATGATTAAAAGCGTAATTTAACCTTTGAACACTCTGCAGAAAGCTCTTTGACTATCATAAAAATGAGTAGGAATTATTTCCTAAGTGCTTCATGAAATCTTCATAACTTAGTTGTCTATTGAACCAAGATCTTAGAATCTTCAGTCAACAAGGTTGGTTTACTATTACAAAGACTTTTACATAGTAGGCGTTGACCCCTTGCCATTCGTTTGATCTCTTGGTAAGCCTTTCGTAAGCAGATCTGCGATGTTTTCTTGTGATTTCACATAATCAATGAAAATAATACCCTTCAAGATCAATTGCTTCATGGTATTGTATCTGCAATACGTATGTCTAGGCCATTATACATACTATTTTGTGCCCTTCCAATATCCGATTGACTACCACAATGTATACTTATAGCAAGTACCAGCTTTAAGTCAACATGGAATGTCCTCCAAAAAGATACGAAGCAATTCTACATTTTCACTAGCTTTGTCTAAAGTAATAGATGCTGATTCCATCATTAATCAGGCAATACACGTTTGCTTTGTTGACTTCCAAGGTACAACAATGCCACCAATGGTAAAGGCATAAACATTCTATTTTCGATCGAGTGTAGTTCATAATATACATTAGGCTGCCTACTAAGAAGAATTGACTTAGGCACGAGTATCCGACATGATACGTGCCGAATATCCTGACACGTGATTTTTTTTAAAAATGTTTCTACATGATACGTCATCAACAGGGTGATTAAGATAATTTTTAGCTTATTTTAGTTTAATAGTCTAAAGTAATAATTTCTTATACTTATTGTATCATATATGCAAATAATTAAATAATAAGTAAAAATCAAAATTGACATTACATTCATACATGTTTGTTAATGCACAAGTTCAAAAAGTAAAATTTAATTACATCATTCACCTTGAACCTCTTCAACATCTTCATCTCTATCATCCGCAAATACTATCACCTCTAGTTTTGGTTCTTCTAGAGAAAAATTAGCAACTTCAAGCACACTGATATCTTCAAATGTATCTCCATCGATATTCCACATTTTAGTCTTTCCTCGTGAGTATAGTGCACTCCTCCTCGACAAGAGACGAAGATTGTTATAGATGAAGACTAAATTTTTTGCACATTTTGGAGTCAGCCTAGTCCAATTACGAGAATGCAAAGAGGAATAAGCACTTCAATTTTGCTCACAACAAGATGAAAAAGATAGTTGCCCCAATAATTTCTTTGCGTAAATTTGAAGCATAGTTGTGGAAGCGCCATAAATAAATTACCAAATCTTCGGGTCCAAGCAGAAACGATCGTGGATGCCCTCCAAAAAAATCGCCAAAGTCGTCTTCCATAGTTGAGAATTTAACATATTCCTTATTCACCATATTACAATCTTCATTTGACAAGTATCCCTTGATACATTTATTTTTTCTATTGAAATCTCTGCATCTCTATATAGACCAAGTCGAGTGGGATCTCACTAAGCCATTTGCGGCTATAGTACCTAAACAATAGAAAAAAATTAAATAAATGACAATTTATTCGATAACTAACTAATAATATTAAACATTATAAAATGTAAATAAACAATAAATATATGAGTAAGATTTTAAAATTACCGTGAATTTCCAAAATGAGACAAGCAATGAAGCGAAGTGTTATTTTTGTTACAAAGATAGAAGTATTCAATGAACAACATTGTAGAATGGTAATTCCTTTTATTTCCTCAATCATTGTATCCTGTCATAAACTAAGTAAAGACACAGTTTATCCATATCACAAAATCTGCGCACATCATATTTCGGAGAAGTGAAGTAAAGAACATAATTTATAGAGTCCCGCCGTAGATCATCAAGCACTTTCAATGTCATAAAGCTTGCCTTCGTCATGTAATTTTCTCAATAAAAGGACCATTTTTAACCAATAACCAAAGCTCGAAGACCACATTGGATAGGCTTAAATCTTTTAACATGACAATAATAGAAGTAAATATTGATAGTCTCATAGAATGGTTCATGATAAAAATAAAAAAAATAAAAAAATTTACAATCATTAGATCATCGTGAAAACTAGTAATATAATTGCATTCCTCATATGCGATCAAATTATTTTCAACATTCTTCGTGGCACAAATGTTCTTCAAGACAAGATGTAGTGTGTATACAAAACATGGTATCCAAAACAAAATGAGGATATTCCAATTCAATTATAAGTTCGACACCTTTGCAATTTGGAGCATTATCGATTATTACTTAACCACCTCGTCATGATCTCATTCACAAAGTCAGCAATAAAATAGTTATATTTCGTTTCATCGGAACAATCATCATTTTAAAAACATTGGTCCAATCTCGATCGCTGCCATAAAATTAATTATTTACCTTCTTTATGGATCACTCCTTCCATCACTTACAATAGCAACTCCTTTTTATGTCCACATGCCATTAATTGGATTTAATAACCTTTCCACATTTTTTCTCTCTTTTTCGAGAAGAACGGTTCTCAACTTGTTATAACCGGAAACCCAATACCCCAAAATTCAACTATTGGAAGTAAGGACTAATGTAATAAGGATTTCTTGCAGGAGTAAAAGGCAAACCACTTGAATAGAACATCCTAGCAATTTTGGAACCCAATTGGTCACATGTTGTCACATTAAAAGCGAATTCTATTGGACTATTCATTCTTTTCTTTTCCTCCAAAATATAACAATAGTTAGAACTCATATTATCCGACAGCAACGGTATTCTTTTTCCCCGCTTGGTTTGCGTTCTCAACTTGGCTTCAGTTTCCACTTTTCTGCATTTCAAATATATCTTTTATAGTTACTTTTCCACAAGCTCAAATTCCACAACCTTGTAATTTTAACAAATGTGCCCTCATTCTTTTGTATGAACTTGTCTTAGTTGCGTTAATGAAATTGCTTTGCCAAAGAATATTGCCACCATTTTCATTAATTTTATAAAGTTTTTAAGCATATTCCCAAAGAGTTCTAGATAAATCATCATCCATATCATTATCACTCAAAACATCAAAAGAAAAAAAATTTCAAAAAAAGTTAATTAAGATAGCAATGATATTATCCGAAACTTGAAAAAAAAATAGCCTTTCCTGGTCATGAATTTGATTCTTGAAGTGTGGATTGATGAAATTTTTGAAAAAGATGGAACAACAAAGAAAATTTTGAAGTTGTTATGAAAAGAGAGAAAAAATAAGAGAAAATATAATTCAAAAGACTTTTGTGTATTTTACTAAGAACCAAAGCCATATATTAATAGTCAAGAATCAAGGATACAATGGTAATAATTTTTAGGGCCGCAGAGGTACAATTGTCATTTACTAATAAACTTACCATTTACGACACTCCCCTTGAATGACACGTTACAAAATATTCGCCTCGTTAAAACCTTGTTTAATAAAAATTTAATGGGACAAAAAATCGAACGAAGGAAAAGAGTACGGTTATTTTGGAGTAAAAGTAAATGTTGCCTCATTAAAACAACCCAGTAGGATAAAACCTAAGTGAAAGAAGAAGAGAATAGCTACTCTTCCTATCGTTGATCGCTCAAAGTCGTAGTCAATGCATTTCAATTTTGTGAATCGATTTCTTGAATTTAGATGTCGGTAATGCTTTTGTGAATTAATTAGCTATATTGTCACTTGATCGAATTTGTTGAATGTCAATGTTGCCATTTTTCTAAAGCTCATCTGTATGAATTTTTTTTTTTTTGGACAAAAGTGTCTCTTTCTATCACCATCGATATCGCCTCCTTTACGTTGTGCAATAGAAGCAGCATTGTCTTCACATAAAATTGTTGGACTATCTTTTTGTTGAAATTAACTTGTATGTTGCTTAAATATGATCGGTCATGTTCCTTAACCATATACATTCTCAACCTGCTTCATGAATTACAATAATTTCAGAATGTTTGGAAGATGTTGCCATCAAGGATTGCTTTACAGATCTATACTAAAT